GAAGGCTTAAGCCACACTGTAAGTGTAAACACCATGCATCAGGGTAAATGAAGCTGCATGTTAGCAGGGAACAAAGGGTGCAGATGAAAAGCTGTTTACCGAGTAGATCCAATATGGATTGCTTTATGGCAACCCCTTACAGCCACTCCAGTGAGGTGGAAAAAGGAGAACAGCAGCTTGGAGGTGGTACATCTGCAAATATTTAGAGAAGTTGCAAGCATCAAAGAACAGAAGTGAGACCTGGAGATGTCGAAGCCGGGGCTGGAAAGTAAGAGTAAAAATGCAAATGATTGTGGACCTTGCTTGGGGTGAGGGGTAAGAGAAGAGTAAAAGCAAAGGCACAAAGTGAGAGAGGCCCCTGAAAAAGCCTTATGCTGCGTGGGAGGACGACGTGCAGGTATCTCAGAATAGACCAGGGCAGCGTTAATGCTTTTTTTTTTTTTTTCTGAGCAATTGAGATGAGACGGTGCCTGACGTTGGCCATCGCATCGGCAAGCAGCTGCCACCCCAGCAGGAGCTCCCAGCAAATGATTACGGAGCTGGAGGGCAGACGTTTTTAAATGACTGTTTAATGAGGTACCTTGTCTGGATGGCTCTTGCAGGAGCAGAGAGCGACTCTGGGAGAGGACCTGGAACATTAGGAAAAACTCCTTTAGGAATAACATCCCAGAGGAGGTGACTTACTGCTTGGCCGTGCCTTTGTAGCTGTGACTGCCATTAGCGTGTGCTGTAGGAGCCAATTCTGGGTTGTACGTTGGTAAGGAGAGGTTTAGAGGATGTGGGTCACTATTTCCTACCTCTGCTAGTTCCTTCCAAGTAATAGGGTGAGTAACCAGCACCTTTTCCTCCGAGAGCATGGATTGCTGCTCTTTTAAGCTCCCCTGAAGTGTGTGGGGGTTGGAAATGAGAAGGGAAGGAGTTAACCGAATATGGTTTGAATTAGTGTTGTATAACCAACCTGGCTATGTTGTCATGGCATAATTGTATCTGACATTGTTTTGTCAGTCAAATGACAGGTAGTACAAGTTCAGCATTGCCTGCTGCAGCAGCAGATTATTTTAAGATAATCTAAGAAGGAAATGACAGCAAATATGACGATGAGAAATAAAAGCCAGCGAGGTTATGTTCCAAAGTCTCTTCTAAATTCCTGCCTAAGTTCCTGCTGTTGGGACTCTGGGTCGAACACTGCTGTTTCAGGACACCAAAGCTTTCAAATCGCAGCACCTTAAGATGGGGAGTGTGGAGGATGGCTGTGAAAATAAAAATGAGGTTTTGTGTTCCTCCCAGGGTGGAAGTGCTGAGTCTATAGAACGTTAACATTTTCATATCTGACCACAAACGCTGCCGTGCTGAGCGCCCAAGAAGCCGTAGCAGGAGCACGCAGCCCTTCTTGATGCCATCCCTGATCTGTGCCAGCCGGAGGAGAGGCGCAGACATCTTGGCAGCTGCGAGAAGAGGCGATAACAAAAGAAAAACCGCCTGCTAAAGGGGAGGTTGTTTCCTGCAAGCTGCTGGCTTCAGACGCGGTCTCGCCGTAGCTGGCTGCGGGCTGCAGCGAGGAGCCCTGCTGGCATCGTCTGCTTCAGGCCCCGGGATTTGCTTGGGTGGAAGGTGTTAACTCCAGCATCTGAGCCGATTTTGAGGGATTCTGCTTAAAACCTGCTTCATTTTTTGTCCCCGTTAGTGCTTCTTGAATGGCTTTGAAGGTGGAATCTAGTTTATATTGCCTGCTCTACTTGAGGCTGAACTGGCAATAGCTTTTCTTTAAGGCTTGAGGGAAGGAAAAAAAAAAAATTGAATTCCTTATGCTTAGGAATGATGTAAAAGTTAAATTCTTGGCAGCCTGGAAGTATTTTGTCATGAGAGGCTCTAATCTGGTAACTCTTCAACCTAAACTAAAGGCTAATTGATTTAAATTGCACTACATGCCCTATCTTGGAAACAGTTTTCCTACCGTGCCGGGCAGCTGTCGGTGTTACAGTCCCTCGAGGGGGGATGTCGAGACAGATAAACTCAAGGCGGTATCTGAGCAATCGGCATTTAAAGGTGTCGGTGCTCTTAGATGTATATCCTGGCCGTGGCACCCCCGGGAGCTGTGCAGGAGAGGCACTGGGTGCTTGTTTGTTGAACACCACCATGTTTCTGTCATTGCTTCTCTATTCTCTTGTGCAAAATGATTTCGAAGAAGCAGAAATCCTTGTCCGGCCACCCCACGGTGGAGGTACAGCCCCACGACACCTGCAAATGGATATAACGAGTTAAGGCACTGTTTGACTTGACTTTCTTCCCACTTGGCAGGCTGAGAACCTGCCACGAAAGTGCTTGTCCTACTGTGAAAGCTCTTACTGTGTGAAGAGGCTGATTTGCATTTGGTCTCTTCAGAGCTGTAAAAATATTTGGGTGCTTGTTTGGTTTGGAGCTGTCTAAGTGCAAATAGGAAACGCACCTTCAGCTTGAAAATGACCTTGTCTGATGTTGGGGAAACTTTCTCTTGTAATTTAATACAGCAACGGATCCTCAGGAATCCTCATCAACATCTGGGAATTGACCGGGATGAACTTGGGAGTGGAAATACAAGCGCAAGGCTGTAAAGGCTGCGTTGTCCTCGTTCAGTCCCGATTTGCCGACGACAGGTCCGGGCTCAGGTTGGCACGACGCGTTCGCCGCTGGTGAATGAGCTGCTTGTATCTGGCTGTTGTGTAACTCCAGAAAGCAGCCGTTGTGTCTGCTCCTTCCCACCCACCGCCGTGACCTGCACCTTAACGTTCCTGCCGGTACTTTTAATTCCCTTATCGGCCAAAAAGGGTTTTACTGGTGATATTGGAAAGAACCTGAAGGAACGTGAAGCAAGCAGGTGAAAAGGTGCACAAAATTCCTAACAAGGAAGTAGTTTGTACCTATTGCACACACAAACCCAACCAAACAACCTCTTATCTTCACGGGTTTGGTTTCTTGGTTCCCCTGCCCGTTTGACATAAAGTTCTGAGCCCGAGAAGTGAATTCCGCTTTTTTTAAAAAGCGCTGCGGCTTTCATACCCCGTTCGTGGTGCTGTTCCTAGGAGCTGGCCTTCCTGAGGCTTCAAGGATGCGAGGATGAAACTGGAATGCAGCGTTGTCCTCTCTGGATGTTGCGAGAGGCTTGGGAAGCTCTCTCCTGGACACCGTGCTTCCCGAAGGCAGCACCAGAAGGCTTTTCTGCCTTTTTTTTTTTTTTTTTTTTTTTTCCTTCCTGTTGGTCTGATAATCTAAAAATGAGTTTTCTCTTCCAACAAAGCTCGCCTTGCTTGTAGCAGTGCCGTTGTGGGTTAGCACGCTGCTGTGTCGCGTAGTCTCTGCGGGCTGGGACATCTGGTGCCTTAATGCTCGAAGGGGAGCTTGCGTCTCTTACTCCATCCAAGATCTCTTGAGTCATATATCCAAATCCAGGCAGGCTCAACTTCATTCCTTTGCCATCAGCAAACCCAGTTCTGCAGCTCAGAGGGAACCTTGTAGGCTGAGGAGCCCTGAAGCCCGCGGCTGGTCCGGCTCGTTTGCAGTGAACTCCTGGTGTTGCGGTCACACGAGGTACAAGTAATCCAGGACCTGCGCTTTTGCTGCCGCGCAGTGACGTCGCGCGTGCCTTTCGCACGCTTCACGGCCGGGACAGGCGCGCGTACGGGCAGCGCAGCTCAGCTGCAGAGCTCGGTAAACGGTGATAACGTCGTGGCTTCGAGGCCCGGAGTAGGCGTCTGCTGCACCGAGCTGTGCAAGCCTGTCGGCTGCTGCACGGGTGTGCAAAGGTGGTTTCTGCCGCCTGCCTGTGGGAGGGGGACGTGGTTTGTGAGCGCTCTGCAGTTCAAGAGCAAAAGCTGTGACAAACAGAATAACTAGCTGTTACTTTGCAGCCAGACAGGGGGATAACTCAGCCCCCACAGGTCTGCAGGGGCTTGGCAAGCCGGGTTTCTCTGCCTTGCTTTGACGGAAGGCTGTTGGGAACGTAGGCATGTCCAAGTGCCGCAGCCTGCAGGTCCGAGATTTCGACTAGAAATCATCCTGTGGCAAAGGCTCGTTTCGAAGCTAAACCTACGGGTCTCTTTATCCTCAGTTTCCCAGAATAATAATCCTTGTATTGTGGGAAATGATAGACAATAGAGCTTGTTAATCAATTCAAATTCACCTTGCGTGTTCTGCGGGTGAATGCGTATGGGTGTGCCGCGGTGAAGGTCCCCGAGTTGTCTGGTGGCTGTGGGAACCAGCGTTGGCAGCCGAAGGGTTCGAGCAGGAACCCAGGTCCCTGATCTTCCTGCTGGTGATTCATGGACACCTTAGTTGCCACTTCAAGTCTAGACAGGTATCTTCTTTGAATTTCACCGGAGCTGTTTAAGCGGTATCTAGCTCAGGAGTGATATCGGTGTGCTTACCACCACGCCGTAGTAATGCATCGTGGGAATGCACCTAGTCTTTCCACCGTGGAAAAAGCACATTAGTTCAAATGATTATGGGCAACATTTGGCTGATTTTGTGCTGAGAAGGGAACTTGCAAGATCCATTATGGTGTTCCTGCTCTGACAGAGTAACATGTTTCTGGGCTTTAACGTCTCAGGCTGCTTCGCCTGGATCTGCAAGAGCAATTCGTGCGTGCTTTTGAGCTCTGTTCTGGGTCTGCTTCCCTCCCGCTCTATATCACGCAAGATCGCTTCCCGATTAGATGTTCCTTGTAAAAAAAATGCTGCGGGAGCTGTGATGGCATCCACCTGGTTGTTCGAGGCTGATGCCGTTATCTTGCACAGTGCAGTAACGGTGGGTAGCGGCTGATGATGATGATGATGCCCTTAGCTGTAGGGCTACCGTGGCCTGTAGTTACTGAGCTGGAAGGGACGGTAGGCAGTTATTTATTGGATAAATCCTCATCCCAGTTTTTCAGAGCTGCCTCCCAGGTGGCTAACCTCAGTGATCAAGAAATGTACTCTGGAAATTCAGGAATTCTAGGGTTTTTGGTTTTTTTAGCAGATGAATGCATCATGAGCGTCGGCATCTGTAAAAGCCGGGAAGGACGTACCTGTGGACGTGCTCTTCAGCGATCCCTCCCAAGGGTCTGGGTCAGCTGCTCTGGAGCTCTGTTACCAGCAGCAACGCACAAGAAGTCATCTTACTCCAGACCTCATCAACTTCTGTGTGGGAACTGGGAAAAGCACATTCCGCTTTTCCTTTTCATTTCATGCGGTTGCTAACTGGAATGGTTTTTGTGCTTTTTCAGGTGCTGGAGAGTCTGGGAAAAGCACCATCGTGAAGCAGATGAAGTAAGTGAGAATACAGGCATGTAAACTGCGTTTTTGTGCGAGATGAAATAAGAAATCTGTGGTGCCCTTCTGGTTTGGGAGTGACAGCTTGGTTTTCTTCCAGGATTATTCATGAGGATGGCTACTCGGAAGAAGAATGCAAACAGTATAAAGTGGTTGTCTACAGCAATACTATCCAGTCCATCATCGCAATCATAAGAGCCATGGGAAGGCTAAAGATAGACTTTGGGGAGGTTGCCAGAGCAGTAAGTATTTCACTTATTTCCCTTAGTCTGAGTCTGTGCTGTGAATTGTGTTAATGAATCCTGGAAATTCAGTCCGTGATACTTGCGGTGGAAATCTTTGTTACAAGATACACTAGCAAAAGACCTTTCATAAACTCTAATATATTACCAGTACAAAGTGTCAAGTATTTTACTGAGGTTATGGGTAAGAACCTTTACTAGTTTGAATGCTCAAAAAAAAAAAAAAATCCCCAAACTTTTTTGTCCAAGATATTTGAATTTTTAACAAAATTCTTAGGTTTTCTTTCAATTGCTTGACACCAGTCCTCAGTAGTGTTTCGCAGCATAGTGCCAGTTAATTTTTAAGTTGAGGCAAATAAATCTTAATAATTTTCGCTACTCCTATTTGTCCTCTTTGTTGTTTGGGGGTTTGAGGCCCTGCTTTGCCCCACCCATCCAGTTCTGCTCGTTCCTTGGGCTGCTACTAGTGTTCACCTTCGACATTTCAAGATGGTCCAAGTCGGGAAGTCTTGACCCCTGTGGTGGTGGGGAAGGCACAGACAGAGTGGGGAGTGGGGGACGCCTGAAAACGTGTAGGAGGAGGGAATTGTGTATATCAGCGTAGGGCAGTGGCTGCGCAGCCTGGGACTCTCGCTGTCTGGTGCAAATTCCTCCTGCTTACAGTTAATAGACGGTAAGTGAAGTAACCTGCTCGGTTTCTTTGTGATGCAAGCACAGATATTTTGAAGTTACGATATAAAGCATCCTGGCTGAAGGGCATATCTACACTTGCACGTGAACCTAGGCTGCTGTTCCTCTGCTGCTCCAAATCCTCCCTGGTGTTCCCCTCCGCCTTTCCTCTGTGCTCGTCGAAGCCAAGCGGTGATCTCAGCACAGCTAACGTAGCTGGAAGGAGGAAGGTGTTCAAATCCAAGTTCCTTTCTCAGTTGACCTGCCCAGGCTCAGCTGGCTTCGCAAAAGCAGAACAAGAGCCGAGCGCCAAGAGTTTTCTTGTGTCCCAATCCACCCTGGAGGGCAAACGACTTGCCACGCTTTCCTAGGAAAAGACCCAGGGTAACGACATCGACTGTCTCACAGCAAACCACGGCAGTGACCCATCAGCACAGCCCCGTACCCGTACGTGCTGTACCTGCCAAGACTCATCGCTGAGGTCCGCCTCTGCGTTGTGGCAGTTCAGACCTCGATTAAATTAATTTAGGTGCCTGTTGCTGGTGCTAGGGAGGCACCCTTTGGAGTAGCATACGGACCTGACTCTTGCCCGAGCTCGGGTACGTGCTGGGCGGGACGGTTTAGGGCTCAAGTGAGAGGAGCCGATGTTAGGAGGAGACAGTCTGAAGTTGAGAACATGCTGGGATAGTGAAAGGTCTCTTGCATCTCCCGAAAGGAAGCTGGCAGGTCTGATCGCTGTAGAAATAAACATCGGTGTGGGATGTAGGTCAGCCTGGTTTTCGCTTTCAAAATCTGCTCGTTAACTTGGAGAAGAGTGAGGTCCTGCTCTAAGACTTCTGAGAAGAATTCTTCATGCTCTAGGGCAAACACTCAAATCCTGATCAGTCCATCCCATCTCCTGATGAAATGCTTTATTAAGAAATCGGTCTCCCTTACTTCTGACAGCTATTGCAGCAAATGGCAAGTCCTCAAAGCTTTAAACCTGCAATCATCCCAAACCTGCTTTTGATACTGAATTTTCCCGTGTTGCCGTACTATATGATGCTATAATAAAGGTTTTCCAGTTTAAAAACTATTATTTATCGTTCATGAATCTATAGCAGCACATTGAATGCCTACCTTTCCTTTGAACCACTGCACCAGGTTACTGAAATTTCACGTTTCCAATGTGAATGCTGCCTGTTACTTCGGAGCGGTGATCCCGGCAGCGATGGGGGCACAGAAGCGGTGTGTGCCACCCGTGATCACTGCGTCTCGCCCCACGGGCTGGAGCTTTTTGCCCAGAATTTGCCTTTCTGACCGGAGGAGAAAAATAACGTGATGATTTGGGGGAGAAGACTGGATAGACAGTGTGAGAGAGGGGACTGTGATTCCGTAGAGCAGTTGCTGCAGCCCCTAGGATCGTTACTGATGTTAAGCCTCGCTGTAATTTGTAAAGGTAAAAATGGGTGTAGATCCTGACTTGTTTTGATTTCCCCTCTTCCCGCAGGACGATGCCCGTCAGCTGTTTGTATTAGCTGGAAGCGCAGAGGAAGGCGTGATGACTGCCGAGCTTGCCGGCGTGATTAAGCGGTTATGGAGAGATGCTGGGGTTCAGGCCTGCTTCAGCAGATCGAGAGAGTATCAGCTTAACGACTCTGCATCATAGTAAGAAACCGTTACCGGCTTCTGGGCTCTGCACAACAAACCAAACGGTGTTCAGAAAGGGCTGGTGTGACTGAAAGCGGGGTGGGTACTTGGGTCCCCGTCCCGGGGGGCGGACGGAAACCCTGGTCTAATTGGTTGGGCTCACAAGGTGACTTGGTGCTTCAACTCATCAAAGTCAGTTTTACTGTTTGTCTTCCCTGTATGCAGTATTGGGAAGAAAAACCACATTCCTTGTTTTGTGCCTAGGTGAATTTACCAATCTGTCTTTAGCAGACGAATAACCGAGCAGCTTGCATTAAGATGGCTCGTTACAGCAGGCGATCAGCGATGTCACCTTCGTTATCCCTACAGAAAGGAGTAACACCTCCTGAAACCGAGCTCCCAATTAAACCGCCAAATTTGTGATGAGCAACAGTTTCCAATAGCGGGAGCTCCTGATATTGCCAGATCAATATTCGCATCGTTGTTCTCCTTAACGGCTCTCGCTACGCTTCTCTTCCTGTGCCTGACGCCACGCGGGCAGCGCTGCCTGCAGCTCTGAACCTGCTTATTCTTCTGTTTCGGAAACGCAGACAATTGCTCGCCAATTGGAAAGTTATGACTAGATAAATAGCGTGGAGCGCTGTAGGCTGCTGCCGCCTGGTTAATGAGAATTTTGACTAAATGCCTCTTCCATTTCCAAGAGGCAGGTTAGTGCAGGGAGGGGAAACTATTTCTTTTGATGAGCAAAACAGTCGTTGCTTTTTTTTTTTTCCTCCTTTTTAAAAAGGTGTGTGCTTTGTCTCTCTAGAACAAATATTTGAAGCTCCGAAAGGATGATGTTGGGGTTAAGTGTGCCTCCTGATGTCCGGCTGAAAACTTGTCCTAATTTAGCCAAGTTTTACGCCTTTGAAAAATTAGTTTGCAAGTTCTTTATAAAGAAATTTGAGATGTGTCACAGCTCAGTTGCCTGCAGGCTCTGTCTGCGCAGAGCATATTTTAGCTTGAAAATAAGGAAGAATTTTTCTAAATTTGTAACACCTTGGCAGGCTATCATGGGTTTAGATCAAGGTAAGTGAGTTGACAAGAGGAGGCTTTCTTGGATTTGTGTGTGCCTTTACAGCATGCGAGGAGGAAGCTTTGGATTCAAAGGGAGAAAAAAGGATAGAGGAGGAGGAGGATGAACGAGGGAATAATTTAATGAAACAATATGGAGAAGAGAAGCTTAAGGACTTCTCAAGCGGAGGATCCAGGGCAGAAAGCATAAGTGGTTGAGTGGAGCTCAAGGAGGAAGCTAAAGGTGGGGAACCTTGGCTTTGTGGTCGTGATGGTCAGCTTTGAAAGAGAAGGAGAATGAAGGCAGGCTGGAGAAAACGGGGTAGGAAGGGATCAGAAACGGCAGATCAGGGAGAGAGGGCGTACGCCTGCTCAGAGGCGCCCACTTGATCCGACTGCTTCCCAGAGACTGGATTTCGGAGGGTTATTCCTCTTCCCGAATATCTACAACCCACTCGTGTCCAGTTTCTGGTACTGGTATGTGTAGGCACAGCTACTGTGACAAATTGCTGCCGTGGGCTGGTGTCAAATCTGCGTGGCAGAGAGATTTCAACCCGATGATGACCCGCGTGGCGTTTTTCTGATAAGCACGTCAGAGAATTTGGCTTCCTCTCCTAAGACCACGGGAAGTTGCGCTAAAGCAGCGTTATTTTGAATCGGTAGCCAAGCAACTCAGCAGTTAGGAAACGCTGCGAGTGGGTTCCTTTAGCACCAAGCACGATCACGCAGTTAAAAACCTGTTTTCTCCTGCAGGACCCCCATCTGGGCAGCGCACAGAATGAGCTGGCCAGATGAGCATTCAGTCGGTGTCTTCTTTTTTTCCTCTCCGCTCAGCGCGTGGCTCCTGACCTGCCGTAGCTTCTGCTGTTACCCAGTTAGTCCCCTTCTCCACGCTTAAAGGATGGATGTCTTGCAATCCCCCTTTTTGTGGTGGTGGTCACGTAGGTACTGGCTTCTGTCCACAGTTCTCCTGGGGGAATTTCACTTCCCCGCTCCTTTCAATATCTCCTACAAATTTGACTGAAACTTCAGGGTTAGCAGCCTTTAAATACGTGCCCCATTTGAGGTGAGTGGTTTTCCAGCCGAAATTCAGTATTGTGCTGTGTTTCAAGCCCGGTTCTGGCTGATGGGTGCTGTTCCTTGCTTCACATCAGACCTCGGGGCCTCTGTTGAGACACCCAGAAGGGGGAAAAAGAGGAACATATGAATGATGGCTTGTGAAAATTAGGTAGCATCAAGAACAGGAGTGCTGCAGCAGAGAGCCAAGGTTTTCAGGGCATTTTGAATTATTCCCAAAACTTTTCTTCCTGCCTCGCTGAGCACTTCCCCTTGTGCAGGCAGGGATCCTGCCTGTCGGAGAGCCGCCCCGGCAGGCAGGAGGCCGTGTGGGAGGAGAGGAGGCAACCATAATAACGGTGTGTCGTAATCTGTGTGCAACGGGCGGGGGGTAAGCTCCCAAAGATAACCACTTGTGACACTAATCCAAATGATCTGTCCTGGAATCATAGCGTTCTGTGTGTTTTCTTCTTTTTTTTTTTTTTCTCCAAGAACAGTTGAGTAACTCTTGGTCTAAACTGTGGATGTTCAAGCACTTGTGTAAACGCTCAGTGTCCTCTCCAGGCACCATCTGATAATGTTCCTCCAGCAACCGCCCTGCTCTTTTGCTGTGATATTTCCAACATCTATATTTTCACTTGCCTTATCGCAACTTCCCATTTTTCTTTACCTCTGATGTCAGCCATCGGCTCTGTAGCTCACCGCTCCTGTCTCGAATCAACGCCGTGGCGAAGCCTTTCAGACCTCGGTGCACAATTCTTGGTGTAAGAGCTACAAAGAACAAAAACCAGCTTGGTGGGGCAGCAGTGCGGATGCTAAGGCATATTGCTCTCTCACACATCTCTCTGATTACCTCCGTCCGATACGTGGAAACGTTGGCAAGCAGATAATGTTTTCAAATATTTTAGTTGGTAGTTTCACTACGTTTTCCGAAGTTCACGCCGACATCAGTCTGCAGATACTGTAGGCAATTAATTATCTGCAGTCTCACAGGCAATTAGCATCGTTTCTGATCAACCATTCTCTATTCTGGCATATCGTGTCTTGTTCCCAAGTGGCAGTTTTGGCCTGAATTCCCTGAAACGATGCTGGATAAAACCTAGATTATTTCGATGTGGTTTTTCCCCCTCTTTGCTCTCGAGCGCTAGCTTGCAGGGCATTGTCCTCCCGTTCGTATCCTGATGCTTGCTTGTGATTCCCCTCGAGCAGCACCACCTTGGGATCGCAGCGCCAGCTTTTGAAGCGAGCTTTTTCATCTGTGGATCTGCCTTAGCTGGCCCAGATAAGCGTTCAAATTGATAAAGGTAATGCGCAACCTTCCCTTTTCCCGGAGATCCCGCTCTGTTACCTTGTTTTCCGCTTTGTTTAATCTGCCAAAATCCAGCTCGACACGAGGGGAGAGAGGAGGCAGACTTCTGTGAAAGAAATGCATTTCTGAAATCTAGGTTTCACCAGGTCTTCACCTGTTTTCTTCTTGCTGCAGGAAGACTTGCCTGGAGATGATTAATTCTGTATGAGCTGTCAGCCTATGTAGGAAGAATACTGTTTGCATTTTCAGATGGGCACAGGTGCTTGTGCTAATGTTTCTCGAAAGCTGGGTGTTGGGTGGCTGCAAATATCGACCCACCTGGGTACCAAAGCTGCATCTCTCTGCCCTCTCGTCTCCTCTCCCTGGCGCGGGCTGGCTTTTGTTTGCTGCTCTGCCTTCGGGCGCGATGGTGCCAGCCCCTCCTTCCCGGAGCTGCGGCTAGTCGTTCATAATAAATGCTTTGTATGAATCTTTCAGAGCTTTCAGGGCCATTTTTGGCCTTGAAAGCATTCTTTCCAGCGTTAAAAGGAAACATGACTGAATTGTTAGGAAAATACCATTCCAGGGTTCATGTGAGCCTGTGGAGGAGGGGAAATCTCTTGTCTTCACCAGCTGAAAGCCGTCCGCTTCAGAACATCCCGCTGCTGTGGTCGGTGTTTCTTAGAGCAGTCTGAGTGCGAGGTGGGACGACATCGGAGCTGGCAGGTTTTCTGATCGAACTGGAACTGCAGATCCTTGCAGACGCAGGTACTGAGCCAGTGCCAGCCTGGCACAGGACGTCCTGGAAAAGCTTGGAGGGTCACGAAGACAAACACGAGTTACGCTGTAGGCTTTTGGTCAGCTTTTTTTGTACTCGAGCCCTCATTTTAAGGGTGAAAAAAGAAGGGAAACAAAACAAAACTCTCTCTTTTGCAAGCTTGTATTTGCAAGGCGGTGTTGAAGCATGAGAAATAGTTGGCTCTGTAAACACAAGGATGCAAGGTGGGGAACAAGTGTTGCAACCTCAGCGTACGAAGGAAGCCTGGTGGCGAAGGAGATTGTGAAAAGGGATTCAAACTGCGTGGGATGTAGAAAGATTCAGTAAGGTATATGTTTTCAGTTCCCGAAACAATATTTGTGAGGAACATCGTTAAACTTTCAGACAGACTGCGGCAAGCTGTGGGATGAGTCGCTCGAAACCCTGAGTCTCGGACTGTGCTTTTCCAGTTTTGGTTTTTTTTTTTTTTCCAAGTTCCACTAAATCTGTATGTGGTGGAGGGAAGCAAGCGGCAGTCTGCACAGGCTGGGCTCTGCAGCCGGGTTTTTTGGGTGGGCAAGCTGCTTTCTCTGCCCACAAAGCCTCCGGCAAGGTGAAGGTGGCCGGAGGAGGCTGCGTGCCCAGGCGCTTGGGCAGCTCTTCTGCTACTGAGAAATCCTCTGTGCTGGATCTCCCGACTGCTTAGGTATTTCCATGGGATCCGGTATTTATTTGCTCTTTGAGTCTCTCTGGAATTAATCTGGCAAAGCTTATTTTTTTAAGGCAGCTTGCAGATAGAGCACCAGTTAATGTGCTACACCGTGTTCTCCTGACTGATGTGCAAGTGGCACTTTGCATTTCATTTGGTGGGAGTTGCCTGGCTCCATTCACCCCTCACTGGCTGCCTAAAAACCCTGAAGCAGGAATTATACCAGTTTCACTGCCCAAACTTCTGATGCTGAAAGCTGGCAATTAGGAGCAGATGCTTTACAGCCGCAGCTTGCACATTTATCACTTTGGTGATTCAGGGCAGCTGTGTGACCTGTATCAAAGCCAAGCTGTTAGGAGTTGCTGGGTCAGTTCTTCCATCAGCTTTTGAACCACCGTATCCCAGCTAAACGCATACTGGTAGGAAAGGGAGGGGGCAGGAAAATCTGGGCATGTTATTTCCTCAGCAGAAATATTTCTTAACAGAAGCCTAATGAAGGTAAATACCTTCCAAAGTCTGTTTTACTAAGCTGAAACTAAAGCCAATCCCAAGTGAGAGTTTTGGGTGCTGTGTTTCTGGTCTAAGAGCG